ATAATAATAATAATAATAATAATAATAATAATAATAATAATAATAATGTAATCATGTGAGAAAGCTCCAAGAAAGCAAGACGAGTCTTGTGACCTCAGTTTCTTCAAAACACAGAATTGTTTTGGGGATGTGAGGAGTGCACTTAACTTAGGTGAATCTTCTTAACCCCCAGTATAAACTGTCCGATGCTCTGAACAAAGCTGCCTATTGCACGAGACCTTAATCTGCCTCATTTTTAGGCTTCATTCTCCCAGGTCCCACCGGCTTTAGTGGTAAACGAGTGGAGCCACGTATCAGGGACCTGAAGCCAGTTATGAGATAAAAGAGTGGGGATCCTCCGGGAAGAGAGAGGTGAGCATAATGGGGCAGAAGCCCTCGCCTTACGTCCAGCTTGTACGCCATTGTTTAAAGAAAGGAGGAGCACAAATATAATCCCTGGTTTCCATAAGAAGAAACATTAGATGAAGGATTATGGCACAGAGTCCGAAAGAACCTTGAAAAGACATATAAACAGGGCGGGGGAGGAGATTCCTGTGCGGGTTGGGGTCACTTGGGCATTAATTTGGACTGTTACCAAAATACTTAAGGAAGATGAGGATAATCATAAGGAAGGGAGGGATAATTCTTTGAATGAATCGACTATGGATTGATGATCAAACCTTGAAGTTGGTAAGTAATGGAGAAAGAGATTTTCCCTGTTCATGAACAACCAGAAGTAGGTTGCTTTGTGGCAGCAGCAGAAGAGGAGGATGGCGGCCGCCTTAGCTGTTCCTGGAGTGGTTGCTGCACCGACTTTAGGGCTGAAGGCTCTCACCGCAGACTGAGGAGACCGAGGAGTCTCCCCAGGGTCCACGATCACGTCTGTGTGATTTGGTGGGGATGTGATTCTAGGGGCAGACTCCAGAACAACCACGGGGTCCTACGTCGCCGATGGACTGGCAAGCTGACCCCCACCCTTGACCACGTCTTCGGCTGCCGCTCAGGCTCCGCGGCTGCTGCTACTCACCGAGGGGCAGGTGCACTCCCCTCCCATGGGGGTATGATGGTCAGGCAGTCTTTCACCACTGGACGCTCCAGGAGCGCATCCATCTATGATTGCATGGCCGCTACCTATCAGGAAGGCAGGACCGAGCGGGAATGTCCGCAGCTCACTGCCGATGCTGTCGCTTCAGCTATGGAACCAGATGGCTCCGGTGGAGGGCTGATCCGCTTGGCAGCCATTCAGCAATCAGGGGTACGCAGGAGACAGCAATGGTTCCCTCTGCTCCCTTACTGCAGCCTTCTTCAGACACGCATCCTACATTGCCTGGAAATGATCGCGAAGCACGGGTGAGAAATTTGGCAATCTGATCTTGAATGCTCTTCGCTTTCTGATGAGGACCTAGGAGGGCCTATGAAAATAACTCCACAACCTAGGCAAACTAGGGCATGGTGGGAAGGAATTTGTGTAACCATTCCTTCCCAGCCTCCTGAGGTGTGCTTGGCATTTCAGCGAAATCAAAGTGTTCTTATGCACTAACCAATCTATTTACAACTCTAGGAGGAGAGGCAGTATTGGATAGTCCTTGCATGTTAGCTTGAGAAAAAAGAAAGAAAGAACTATTTGAATCCAAACTACATGAGGCATTTGTGTATCCTGTGAATCCTTTATTGCCTTTAAATTTACTTATATTTCCATTTTAATGGATTTATTTATACCGTAAGGACCATAAAATACCAATGCTTACCTTACTCTTGCTCAATTAGGAAATCAGGGGAGGACCAGCTATCAACAATTATATGGGTTTCATCCTGGCTGTATTATATTAACCTGAACTAGCAATTTTTAAAAGTGTTGAAGAACTGTATAGACTTTCAAATTTCATTTGTAGGTTACTATGAAGGGATAGGAAGTCATTATATGTCTGGTTCTAAGTCTGGAGTCTATGTTAGAATTTAAATTATTCTAAAATTTTCTGGAGGAAAAAAATAATTAGAGGCCTAAGATTTTACATTCAAAAGCCATCCTTCTTGAACAGTGCTGTAGCTCATTTAAATGAAGAAACCTGACCACATGAGACCTCAGAAGCATCTCCAGAGCTTTTTTGCCATTCGTCTCCTTGCATATCAGGTAGGGCATGGCACTGACAAGAAGCTACGAACTGGGTTTCTCTTTCTCGTCAGCGTTTCTGGGGAAACCACTCTAGAACCTTTGAGAAAATAAGAAAAGTGCAGGTGAAGTGGTGACGGGAATTTGATAAAGGACCATGCCCCCAGTCCAAAAAGAAAAGCTCTGAGAGGAAGAAGCTCCGAGCGTCAGGTGTGTTCCGCAGCAGACAGCAGACCTCAGAGATGGCTTCTGGGGCAGACAGCACTTAGGGTGTTCACCAGACATTCACTCTGGGCGAATGAAGATGGTAAGTTTGTTGCTTATTTTGTTTTAGTTTTGTAGCTTTCAGGTACTCTAGTGACCCCTGGAAAAAAGAACTACACTACATACCTTTTGCATGATCCATTAATATCCCAAGTGCTACCTTAAAAGAAACTGGAGAGAAATATAAATCTCATAATCCCATATTAAATATAGAACTCTGCATTCCTACATGAGAGTACATCCAGAAAGAATTGCTTCCATTTTTTTTTCAAATGAAAAAAAAAAAAAAGCATCCTTTAAGACTTATAAGTTTCCATTCTTAACTTAATCTTAAGAGCCTTAAGCGCCCTGCCCTTAAATGCGTTTAGCTTGGAGAGCTAAGAACATGTAAAAACCTATTTTAAGAAACACACTTTGCTAACTTGCGCTAGGAGAGCAAATTCAACAGGGTCCTGGTGATAATGGGCCAGCGAAGATTGACTGTCTTAGCCATTGCAACGGCGGAACCGTTACATTTGCTGTTCCTCACTGAACTAGTTACTCTGCTCAACTTTGAATTAACAAAATAAAAACCATGCACAGCACAAAAGAAAAGCAACCGCAGGATCCTCTTATCGAAAGAGACAAGGCATAAAATCTTCTGCTTTAGGGACAAATAGTAAATCATTTATGCAAGAGAGATTTGGGAGAGGAAGCGCGGTGGGGGGACAAATTATAAAGTCCTGACGGTGCAGTATTGAAATGAAGCTAGCGTTTGGCCAAAGGCTCGGAGGAGCCCGGCGTTAGCTGCAGCCTGGGTGGGGAGTGCCGGCTTCGGGGGCTCAGGCAGACCTGCAAACGGGATCTCACTGTCCGTTCCCGAGCCAAGAAACACACTGTTAGCGTTTAGATTCACCCAGAGCTTGGCTGGACACGGCGGGGAACGCACCTCTGCAGATCCGGGCAGCCTCTCGCTGGTACCCGCCGAAAGCTTAGAGATCTCGCGAGAGCCCAAGCCTTCAGCGTTCACACAAGCTGCCCTTGCTCGGCCAGAAGTGGCCTTGGTCACCGACTTTTGAAAATTTGCACCAGTCGGCCTCCATTTATTTGTTTGTTTTTCAAAACAGCGTGCTAATGTGTGCATTTTCTGTTACTGACTTTTAAACATTTTTTCCCCCTGTCACTGGACATGAACATCCTGACTTCACACTTAATCTCTCAGATCGTCCTGAATTTTGAGGTCAAAGTCCGCGCATTGCTCTCAGTTGGTTAAGAGGTAAAGGCAGGGCAGGCGGGAATGTCCGCAGGGAGAGGGCCTTGCTGCCAGGCCTGACGCTCTGCCTTCAGTCCCTGGAAGCCCTCCAGTAGAAGAGACCTGCCTCTTGCAGGCTGCCCTTTGGTTCCCGCCCTGCTCTCCGGCATTTCGCACAGGCCGCCATCACAAGTAAAGGCGTTTAAACTTTTCTTTTTTTAACAAAAGAAGTTAAGGAAAGAGAATACACAGTGGCTCCCTCCGCCTGCCCTGAGGCACTGCAAACCCACGATACCAAAGAAATATCCCACCTTCTCCCCCAGTTCTCGTCTTGTTTGTGAGTCACAGCGCAGGCTGCCTTAGACTCCAGTCCTCCTGCCTCAGCCCGCCCAGTTCTGGATTTGCAGGTGTGTTCCACCACCCAGGCGTCGCTTCTAAGGGCGGTGCACGGCGCTCAGCCGGGCCGGCTGCGGTAGCGTAGTCATCGCTAAGGGTACCACCGACTGGAGCCGGCTACTGGTGTTTGTCACGGCTACCTCGCTGGAGGAGCTGGGGGGATCAGGGAAATGTCATCCGGACAGAGAGGCCATTGAGGATGGGAGGCAGGGTCAGGGACTAGCTAGTCAAGAGAACAGAGAAGAGGGTTAGGGAACATCAGAGACAGGAGCAGGCACAGTGTCTGTTCCCTGCAGAGAGGCGTGTGCTCCTCTGAAGTCTAAGCACAGGCCCTTTTGCTCCTCTTCCTCTGTACTCGCCCGCAGCCTGCTGGCCTGAGTCGCTCCTATCAATACCACCTAACGTGAGGTGTCTCCAATCATACCATCAGCTTTATTTGAGCGCCTCTTCCTGCTTTCCGGCGCCAGTGCGAATTCCCGGGCCAGGGGCTGGGAATCGGCGGGGAGGCGGTATACTATGAGGCTCCTGCACTATCAGGGCCTGAGTTCCCACGCTGACTTCCATTATGCCAATCCTTTGGGCCATTCTAAAGAGCTTTATCTGTCCCTCCCACTTTCTTAGCATTAGCCCTGTGCCCATTTCTCCTGGCTATTTATTTAAGTCTAGTGTACCTGTTTGGTCTGTTTAGACAGGAATTAGAAAGTCCTGTTGATGGTAGCTTACAGGGTTACTTGGGGTCTGTACAGACTTGCTCTTTCCCAGATTATTTATACAATTTATTTGTCTGCATTTTCTTACCCTTGTATCTCTAAAATTCATCTTAATGCAACACAGCCCTTAGTGCCAAGCCAATTTTTTTCTAATACATGTTTTCCCTAAAGCCCCAATATCTTCATTTCTTTGTTCTGATTTATTGCTGCTGCCTAACCACAGCTACAAGGCAGAAAATAATAATAATAATAAAAATGTTAAAACCCTAGTAGCAAGCACATCAGGATTAACATGCTAGTTGTATGTTAAGCCAACAATGAGCTAACTCATCTTTAATTTATTAGCTTGATTCTGGTATAAGTTCTGAATGAAAAGTAAAAGGTTGTGTAGATTAATAACATTAAAGTTTCAAAACAAACCTCTGAAAAAATAGGAAACGTTAAGCAAGGGAGCTGTGCCATCTTTAATTCATTTCTCTGTTCCTGGGCAATTCCTTGCCTGTAGGACGAAAACTCAGAAGCATTTTTCAAAGACTTTACAGAACCCAAACTCTCAGTGCAGGGATGACCAGAATAGCATATTGCTCTAAACTTCAGGGCCCAATTTGTATGTATTCTATATGACATTGGCAAGAAAAAGACTTCTTCAGAAATAGGTCTGTTATTCTGGAGGCAAAAATTGCAGGTCAAGTGTTAAAAGAAGACAACAGTGGGCTTTGCCTGGCATCCTAGTCAGCCTTAGGCCTGCATCCAAGAGATTAGGCGCTGGAGAGCTGAAAACATCTCAGACCACCAGCCAAAAATTACTATCAGTTGATTTTGGCTTCTCAAAACATTAAGTACTTAGTACTTACTTTATTTAACCCAACTGGAGAAACTGGTCCAAATCTGCAAAGTGGATGCAAGACAAAAAGAAGAAGAAGAAGAAGAAGAAGAAGAAGAAGAAGAAGAAGAAGAAGAAGAAGAAGAA